CCCAAATTAAATACGTATTTCTAAACAATCCCTGGGTCAAGGAAAATTAAAAAATATACTCAATTGAACAATAATGAAAACAACATTAAAATTTGTGCAATGCAGCTAAAGCAGAGCTTAAAAAGTATTCTTTTAACAGTATATTTTATAAAAGAAAAAAAGTTTAAAATCACTTTATGAAGATTGAAGAGGAAACTAAACCCAAAATAAGGAGAAGGAAACAAAGCATGAAGAATTAGTGAAACAGCCAGGTGCAGTGGCTCACGCCTATAATCCCATCACTCTGGGAGGCCCAGGCAGGTAGATCATTTGAGCTCAGGAGTTCAAGAACAGCCTGAGCAAGAGCAAGAAGCCCTCTCAAAAAAATAGCTGGGTACTTGTATTCCCAGCTGAGCTGAGGCAAGAGGATCACTTTAGCCCAAAAGTATCAGGCTGTTGTGAGCTGTGACACTACAGTACTCTACTTTGGGCAAGAAAGTGAGACTCTGTCTCAAAAAAAAAAATAAACCAAAAGTTAACATTATCAGGAATCAAAGAAGGGACATCAGGATAGATGTAGGGTATCTTAAAGAGATAATAAGAGAACATCTTGACTCAGTGTGGATAAACTTGACAACTTAGATGAGAGGGACAAATTCCTTAAAAAATGCAAATTACCAAAACTGACACAAGAAGAACAAGAAAGCCTAATGATTACTTTATCTGTTACAGAAAATAAATTCGTATTTAAAACTTCTACAAAACTCTCTGCCCAGATGGTTTTCTTGCTGAATTCTGTCCAACAGTTTAAGACAGATCTTCTAGAACATTTCCTGGAAACAGAAGGAACACTTCCAACTCATAATGACCCTGAAAACAACCATAGGAGCATACTATGAGGAGAAAATTAGAAAGCTGTATCTCTCATCAATATAGATACAAAAATCCTTGATGGCATTAAAATTCAGCAGGAATTGACCTGGAATTCAACAAACTAAATTCAGCAGAGTAACATCATGACTAAATGGGATTTGTTTTAGAAATAAAAGGTAGATTTAACATTTAAAAATCAACATGAATTCACCATATTACGTACTAGTAAAGGAGAAAAAAAATCCTGAGCATCTGAATAGATGTCAGAAAAGCATTTCATATTCACTGATGTTGTGAACTCACTTTTTAACAAACATGACAAAATTTCTTCAGCCTGATAAAGAGCATTTAGGAAAAACCCACAGCTAACATAATGGTGAAAGAATTAGTGCTTTCCAACTGAGATCAGGAAGGCAGAAAGGCTGGGATGGCCATTCTTACCACTTCCATTCAGTGTAGTATTTGGAACGTTAGCAGGTCTAACACAATAGCAACGATGAAAAGCATACATCTTGTGAAGGAAGAGGGGAACCTGTCTCTATTCACAAACAATGTGATTAACTATAGAAAATCCTAAGAATCTATTTTTAAAAACTTACTAGAACTAATACAGGAATTTAGGAAGGTCTAAGATACAAGGTAAATGTACAAAATCAATTACATTTCTATCTACCAGCAAAAAATACCTGATATGACATTTTTAAAAAATTACAGGATAAAAAATATTTAGAGATAATTTTAATGGAAGATACATAAGATATCTACACTGAAAACTGTAAAATATTGTTGAGAGAAATTAGAGATGACCTACAGACGTGGAGAGAAGTACCAGGTTCATGTACCGGAGGACTCAACATTGCTGGGATCCCAGTCCACCTGATCTGATCTTTTCAATGAATGTACTATGGAATCAAGGTCCAATTGTGCTTTTTTGGTGGAAACTGTCAAGCTGGCTCTTAAATCTTACAGAAGAGACCAGAAGCTAAAAAGACCAAGGCATTTTTGAAAGAAAAGAGGATGGAAGAACTTGCACTTCCAATTTCAGAACTTGCTGTGAAGCTACAGTAATTGCAGTGTGGTGTTGGTATAGGGAAAGACAAATATCACATTTTGCTGTGTATAATGCACTTTGTTGACCAAATTTTTGAGCAAAAAGTAAGGATGTGCATCATACATGAGTAGTATGGATAGGGAATGGGGGAGCCCAGTGGGCCCCCCAGGGTGCTATGCCTGTGCCCTCCTGCCTGCTTCACTGGGGGCGGAGGGTTGCAGTCTGGGAGGATGCAGGATTGTGAAGATCTACAATACATATGTCTGACAAGACATTAAGTAGAATAAAGAACTCCTACACCTTTAAAATAAAAAGACGACTATCCAAATAGGATAGGCTGGAATAACCCATGAAGGGGGTGGTGACAGGGCTAGCAAGGTGGGGCTGTGGCCCTGCAGGGCAAGGGCTGAGGCCCATACCCTGTCTGTAGGGACAGAAAACCAGAGTCCCAAGCAGGCCCAAGAGACCTGCCTGGTTTCCCATAGGCCAAGCAGCCTCAGAAGTTCCTGCCCTATCAGGCATACACCTGGCGATCTTTGCCATGGGCTCCCGCAAGTGGTGAGTAGGAAAGGGCTCCCAGGAGAGAGGGAAGGGCCAACCTTCACAGAGCGGGCAGCTATGGGAGGGCAGTGTGACCTCCACATTTGCCAGGGGAGTGTTAGCGCTTCCCAGATGGGTCTCTCCTAGCCTAGAGCTGGCCACTTTCTCAAGGGCATTTTCCTGAAAGTTTGGGCCCAAACTTAGTATACACAGCAGCTCATTTCACAAAGCAAAATACTGAAGAATGAACGAAAACAGAGTCTAGGAATAGGCCCACACTTTAATGGCTGACTTTTGAAAAAGGCTCCAAGGAAACGCAATATTGAAAAGAAATATAGTTTCAATAAATGACTCTGCAACAACTGGTTAGCTACATGGAAAACAATGCACTCCAACTCTTACCTCACACCATACACAAAAATTGATTTGAGATGTCTCATAGACCTGCAATGAAAGCTAAGGCTGTAAGACTTCTATAAGAATGTACACCATTGAGGCAGACAAAGGTTTCTTAGTTTCTTGGCAGAAAAAGAATATTATTAAAGAAAAAATTGATAAATGAAACTTCAAATAAAAGTAACAAACAATATAAAAAGCTCTGCTCCTCTTAGACATTATTAAGTAGATGAGTAGGCAGCCTATATCCCATAAATGAAGATCTACAATACATATGTCTGACAAGACATATAAGTAGAATAAAGAACTCCTACACCTTTAAAATAAAAAGATGACTATCCAAATAAAATAGGTCTGAATACTTGAAAAAGCACTTTATAAGAGAAGACATATGAATGACTAATAAACACATATGAAAGTGGTCTAAATTATTAGATGTGGGGGAAATGACTATTGGCACCATAATGCACCAGTTCAAATGGCTAAAGTTAAACATAGCTAACACCAAATACTGAGGAGGAAGTGGAATGGCCAGAACTCTTGTACATTAGTGGTGGGAGAATAAAATGATATAGTCATTTTTGAGAACTATATGTCAGCTGCCCTAAGACCCAACGATTCCATGTCTTGGGAGAAATGAAATCCTTGGGAGAAGGATTTGTGCCATAATATTTATAGCAACTGTATTCCTGATGGCCAGAAAACAGGAGCAGCCCAGGTGTCCATTAATAGGAGAATGGACATGTGAATTATGATACAGTGAGTTATACAGTGGAATACTACACCGCAACGAAAAAGAACCAGTTACCAATACTTGCATGAATATAGATAGAGCTCAAAAAACAAGCGGAGTGAAAGAGGCCAGACACAGAAGAACGTCTACTGTATGATTACATGTAAGTGAACTTCTAGCAAAGACAAAAGTAATCTAGTGATGAAAATCAGAATGTCAGAACAGTGATTGCCCCAGAGGAAGGGCAACTGACTAGGGACAGAAACAAAGGACTTTCTGGAGCAATAAATCTAAACATAGATATCCCACTGCTACCTCAGCCAAAATAAATCAATATTTTGCTTGAAACCCGGCATCAGTATTTTTACAGTGTCTCCCTACCTCTGAACAGCAGGTAATTTTGGTGCACAGTAAGGTTTGAGACAGAGTCTCTCCACTAGAAAGATTTAAAATCTTAAATTGTGTCACCAAGCAACATCTGTCCTTAGGTTTATTAATTATAACTATAAAATATACTCATTTGAAGTAGATTCCTTTATATAAATTTAAAATAAATGAACAAATAATGGTACTATTTTATAAAAAGATTCCTAATAATACTAAAAACAGCATTTCCCTCTGGATCAACTTGCTTGCTGCTGGCTGAAGAACGCATCACTACTATGCTGCTAAGTTTTGCCCTGGCTGCCAAGAAGTTCAGAGCCAAATCCTGGGCTCAGTTTAGTGATTAGCATCCCAGCTGCCCAATGTATCAATTTTTCTTTGGGGTAAGGGTATACAAGGTGGGGTATTCAATTATCCTGTTGCATACAGTAAATGACTTCAAATCATTTGGGGAAAATGCTAGTGTATAAATCATATAAAATACTGGCCACTTTGACAAAATTAAATATTTTTTTCTACAGACATAAAGGCATTGTATGCGTCTCCTTCTTGACAAAAAAGGTTAGATAGGAGGGACTTTCACTGTGGCCTGAATGAGTCATTTGCTAAAAGGTGAGTCACTATCCACCCAAATGACTAAATGATGTAAAAAATACATCATTTTAAAATACAACCATATTGACAGGGAAACGCTTCACTTATATTTGATTATAAGGGTTAGACTTGAAGAACCAATATAAAAGTGTAGAGTATGTTAAGACTCCCCGATTGGATCATAGATGGCATAAGAAATTTAAGTGCACTTCATTACATTCTTAGGCTAAAGAAAGAAATTGTATCAGTACGCAAAGGTGCTCGCTGCTATTCTGCTTCTGTGATAACTAGTGTCGGCAGCTTTGATTGTATCAGCTGGCTAGGATGTTCTGTCCCTTCTCATTTAACAAAACCATACAACCTTGGCCCCCAGGAGAAAATAAAATGTTGTTATCCCCAAAGGGTATATTCTAATGTAACGTAAAGCGGGGGCCCAACAACCCCTCTCACCTGAGCTGCTTCACTGTTCACCAGTCCCATGAGCGTCTCCTCCTTTCCCCCTTTCCTCTGTGTTGTACAGGACTCACCACTTCTTTCACTGTGGACTTTTTTTCCTATTAACCTATTTTGCATCTGATTGACTTGCTTTGTTGCAGCCTTTCGTGAATCAACCTATTGGTACAGAGGAAGTAATAACATATAATGAAAACTTTGTAGACACTTCTTCATAACAATGCATTCAGGTCCAGATTCTTGCTAGCCTTTAAAAAAAGGAGGAAGTAAAAAAGCAATAAATGGACGTAATAGAAAAAATATAGTAGTTGGCAAGATCCAGACCCTTTCTCGTCAATGGGACAAGACCAATTAAAATTTGTGTCACTGTTATGCACTTTTTAGAAATTATCTCTCCAGATAACTTGCTTACTGAAAACGGCATTACTACAGAAAATTGTCACATTTGAAAACTGCACATGAATTCATTATTAACTTTTGCTGGGAGTAGATCCAATACATCTTTGTAGTTTACATTCTTATTAAGTAAAATGTTAGTCAATTTTCTATCATTGAAGTAAGCCTAATTAATGTGAAAGTATGAAAGAAGCTCGTGATGTTGCTTTCTTTTTTGTGCAGGTAGTTTAACCTTTGAGCAAAATAAGAGTTCATGTCACCTAATACTGTGTCCCAGAACCAGCAGTTAAGCTCTACAACAAGCTTGCTGTCTCTAATGTGTCTTTTTCACACCAGGGTGATATCTAGGGGATGACGGACTCTCAATAACCTTGAAGTAGACACAGAAATAGAAGGGCAGATCCCACAATACAGTTGGAAGATTGAAAGCTACAGCGAAGGTCCTTATGTGAAGTATTTGTTCAGCAGCATCATGTTTACAGCAGCTGAAAGTGCCATCACCTTTCTTCATGGGTTAAATAGGGGGCAGAAGATAGAAACGGCACAAGGGGAAATAATGGAGTAGCCAGTGCCAAAACAGAGAACGAATGACACTGGCTGGGCAAGCAGAGCCGTAATTGGTAGCCTCTCAATTTTTAGCTTCTATTGCCAAGTGTGTTCCCTCCTTCTCTTTAAAATATGCTGGTGTTTTGTGGCAAGGTCTAAATTGTCACAACACCATTCTTTATTCGTCCCTCCTCCAGGATCCCAGCTTATGAAAAGATGGCAAAACTACCACCTTTCAGTAACCTGCAAGTTGGAAATGTTTCCTAATCATGCAGGGATTCTTTACTTCTACCACTTAACGCTCCCAAACTACTGGGAAAATTAATATGTAACCAACATCTGTGCCACTCTTCCACTGAAGTCATTTTAGTAATAAATGTATGTATCATTTATGTGAAACAAAGCATTTCCCAAGGTGGTTGCAGTTTCATCCAGTCATTGTGAAAAATGTGTTCTATGTTAAAAGACTTAGTTGAGCTCTTTTATCTCCAGCTTTATTGAGATACAACTGACACAAACTATGTATAGTTGAGGTGTACAACATGTTTTGATATATGTAGACACTGTAAAGTGATTACAACATTCAACTAACATATCCATCAACTCACATAGTCTGCATTTTTTTGTATGTGGTAAGAACACTTAATATCTACTTTTTAAAGCAAATTTCAAGAATATTATATTATTATAGTTTGCATGCTATACATTACATCTCTAGAACATAGTCATCTTGTAACTTCAAGTTCATACCCTTTTTTCACAAGGAGACTAGGAGACAGGGTTCAGACAATGCAGGGACTTGAAGATCAGGTACAGGCATCACACAGCTCTTAAACAGAGGCTAACTAACTAGAGGGGCTGATAACTGCAGGCAAAAACTGGCTTTGACCGGCTGGTCAACAATCTCTGCCACCTTACATGAACTTTGGCTAATTACAATATCATTTACATTGTAATGCTAAAAGTTCTCTACCCTTGAATTCACCATGACAGTTCCAAGATTATACAAAGTATGAAAATGGGAGGGAACTCAAGTCTAGGAATTATTACCCAAATTCTTAGTAAAAGCCATCCCCTTGGCCTTGAAGCACTTCATCCTAGTGCAGCTGCTCTGTTTCAACCCTGCCCACTCTCCGCCCTGACTTTCACTGTCAATGACCCTGTCACTTGCTTGGCTTCCATAGTGCATCCTGCAATTCTCCTCCCCCAACACCAACAACTTGTAAAAACCTCCACTCAGAAGCCACTTTGACTCTCAACCCCTGGCAACTACTATTCTTCTGCTTTAAGTCTGACTTTTTTAGATTCCATATAAAAGTAAGATCATATAGCATTTGTCTTTCTGTGTCCGGCTTATGTTACTTCATTAAATGACCTCTACATTCATCCATGTTTTGCAAATGGTAGGATTTTCTTATTTTTATGGCTGAATAATAGTCTACTGTGTGTTTTGTGTGTGTGTTTATGTTTATATACTTCACATTTTCTTTATCCATTTACCCAAAAGACACTTAGGTTGGGTTGTTTCCTTAATGCTTTAGTGAACATGGAATAAAGTTATCTTTTTGACTCCTGATTTTATTTCCCTTGGATATATACCCACAAGTTGGACTGCTGGATCATACGGTAGTTCTATTTTTTGTTAAGACGTTATTGAGATTTTTAGTGCCTCCTGTATGCTGTGAACGCTGGGTGTGATAGCTTTTGTCCTGGGAAACTCTGATGTATAAACAAAATTTGGCGTTAATTTATTCAGTCCTCTGTGAGGCACCCTGGAAGAGATTATGCCCTCTGAATCTGCTTTTAGTTGGCCAAATAATTAGGGTGCACTGCTATGGAGATTTGTAGCTAACAAGACTAATTCTAGGAAAACTTTTAAAATGGTAAGAATAAGTGGGATGAAAAACTTTAATTCTTAATTTTGAACACAGTGAAACTTTCTTTTTTCTCAAAGACATAAAAATATAGAAAACACCCCAGGCATCTCACATAATCAATAGAAGGATACTACTATCCAACTGTGTGTTATTTTCAAGAAAGTAGCTATTCAAATGAGATAGTTTGTATTTAATTTTCCTTTACAACTTTACACTGTTCTATGTCAGGAATACCTCTGGACTCCTAAAAACTAATAAAGCCAAAATGTGCTTCTAATTGAGAATTTATATTCTATTACCCTCATATATAGAAAATAAAGAGAAGTTCACAGAATTATTTTGAGAATTAAAACTCAGGAAAGAATTTAGTAAACTGTTAAACATTATACAAATATCACTACTACCAGTACTAATATATTCACTTGTGGATTGACTGTATGAACCTCAGGTTTAGGGTGAATGAAGTAAAAACTTCTGCCATCTGAAATATGGGCTAGCTCGAACATTTCAACTCTTAGCTACGGCGTCTCCTCAGCTTACATGTAAGGCACTTAGGAAGGATGCACAACCGTCCTCAGTGTTACATCATGGACATAGGCACCACAACAGTAAGGAGACATTGATAAACTGATAAAAAGGGCCCACTAGCTCTAGAAAAGTAGCTTTTTGAAGGGGTGAGTTGGGATTTGCAATAATGCTAATTTACAACAAAACTTTAACAATTCTCACCTGGGAATTCTAGACCTTTAGCTTACCTCAGTAAGCATTCTTACTAAAATATGGTTTCCTTTGATGAATTTTGGATACTAAATACCAATGGGTGATAAAAATGGATTGTAGTGTTCCTGATAAGAATGTCTTCTAATTTGACTGCCAGCTATGTCAGAAGCCCATAGAAAAATACTCATAAAGGACTTTAGTTATCCATACTATCGCTCGGATTTAGGCAAACGCCCCCAAAGATGTATTTTTCAAGAAAAAGATCAGTATCTTTAGTACCTTGACAAAAATTCATTTCCAGTCAGTAACAGTATTCAAGAACTGAGAGAGGAAGGTGCAGTTTACAGGGAATAGTTTATAAAGGCTGGTAAAATCCAGAATTCAAAAAATACCCTTTCCTTTTATGAAATGATGATGTAAGTTTGCTGAAATTTTTATGGCAATGTGCTGTTTTCTAATACCTAACCAAAACATAATTTTCTTAAGAACACTATATTTCCCTTAGTATAAGTTTCACTTATGAAGAACAAAGTAGCATTTAAAAGTTTTAGGCATTCATAACATTTTTCCTTTGGATACTGAATCATAGAAGCATTTGTCTACCTTTCCTGGTCCAATGTCTCCTTTTTAAGTATCATTGTTTATTTAAAGTACCAGTCTGAATTTCACTCACTAGTCTATTGACTCAGTAGAATGATCCATGTATATAGTAACAAGAAATGTTTTTAGTTACTAATAAGGGGATTCTGTCTGACTAAAAAGAGATAAACTGGAGGCATGTGGCTGATTATCATTCTGGAAGAAACTCTGTTACAGAAGCAGCCTCTTAACGGAAATCATCTTATACTGTTATCATTCAGAGGAATTCAGTGGATAGTTTATATTGTCATACTTCCCTTTTGAACATTTTCAGGTTGAGTTTTTGCAGATTTGTAACAGATTTGCAAAATCTATAAACTTTAAAAATAAAAATTAAGATAAAGTTCAGCCATATACAGAGAGCCTACATTTTATATTGTCATTATTAAATATATTTGAGCACTTATAATACTAGAGAAATAAAGTCATTAATAAATATTGATCTGTTGTGATATATATCCCCAATTTATCTTACTGCCTACACATTCAAGCTAATCACATTGTTAACGGAAATTAACCAAGGTCTTAAGAATGCATATTATTCTTAAGTGTTTTCTTCTTATAATCAAAAAGAATAAAATATTTTTGATGGAGGTTCATTGGGAAAAATGTTTTATGTTCTATTCTCTGCATATAAAAATGGTTTCAAAACAAATATGCTTTGAATTTAATGAAACTGAAACTTTTGGTGGATAATAATTTTACATCAGAGGATCTAACTATCAGTTTTTAAAATGGCTTCTTTTATATTTCAATTAAGTTTATGAAACTGAAAAACAAGAAAAAAAACACCTAAATTATGGATATTAAGTGGTGACCATTATTGCCTGGGAAATACTATGTCAAGGAAATGGCTCTTTGTTTTGTTGCAAAAGTGATAAAAACACAAAAGTCAATAAAACTGTTAAAATAAGTCTAGTAATTACCAAGATCAAAATCCAGTAGCTTTTTATTAAACATGAACTTTTGTTCTGCCTTCTGCAATACGTAAATAGTGCTGACAATTGGTTTGTGAGGCACTTGCTACAATAAAATGTAATTGTATCATGAGAGAAAGGTGACAATCAGGAGATCATGAAAAAATTACATATTCTCACTGGTAGTTAATTAGCCATGCAAAACCTCCTCAAACAGATATTCTCTTCTATTAGGAATGATTACTATGCAGGCCTACAGATGTCAATACCACAGTCATTCAAATACTTCTTTTCCTACTAATTGAAGGTTGTAAAGCTCTGGTGCCAAGGTTTTCCTTCCAAAGAGCTAATTTATGACTAGAAGGATATTTTATGTCTTCAGTTGCAGCAGCTACAAAATTCAGCAAATCAGAACCATCTGTGCACTGATACTTGACTCACCATTCATCTAGCAGCCTATCAGTCACATTAGTTTGCATCCTGCATTCTTGGCTCATGAACACTTGTGATGATCCAAAGTTCATAAGGAATATTAAAAATGAATGGCATCCTGACCCCACCTATTGTACATGTATCTGGGAATAAATGCCCTCTATACTTTCTTTTTTTTTTTGCACATGGACAGTGTCAGAGAAGAAACAGACATCCAGTTGCCTGTCCAATAATATTGCTAAACGCAGTCTCAGGTTTCCACCCTCTCAAAAATGTTTGAAGTTCTAATTCTTTTGTATTGTTTTAAGTTCTAATTCCTCCCTCTCTTTTTGTTTTTAAGTCAGTATGAGGGAGTGTGTTGGAAGACGGCAGAGTAAAGAAGGAGATGTAACTTTAAAAACATAGTATTTCTTTTCTACCTACAGAATTGTTTCCATAGATTGAAATATCCGCATGTAAAAATAATCCATTTCCATGACCAAACTAGTAGGCAAAAACAGAAGACAATGCCTGAAAAGAGTCTTTAAAAAAAAAGCAGCAAATAATGGTTTTCATGAATAAAGACACATTAGCCTTTAACCTTATCCTAGTCGCATCTCTATGGCATTAGATTCTACTATTTTTCTCTAAAAGACAAGCGGTCAAAAGAATATCAATAAACTTTCTTGGTGCTGAATTAGGGAAAATAAGAATTAAGTATAATGAGCAAAAACCTTAGTTGTCAGATTCATTTGGAGACCGCTGACAACTTCGTACGATAGAAAAGTTTCATAGAGGTAACCACAGAATCCTAGAGGTTACATTACTTACTCTTTGATTGTTTGGAGTATGCACATTTACACCCTCTTCTTTCGTGGAAAATTCCAATGGTCCTAAAGGAATGCCACTCGGGTTCAAAATTTT